GGGGGCGGCACTGTGGATGGGGATAAGAAAGGAGAGCGAGAGCGCGAGAGAGAGAATCTATGCTGTACGCCTCGCAGGCCTCGAGGGCCTTGCTGCAAGCGGCGTCGCGTTGGATTGAGGAGCACGGACGCGTGTGTTGCGTCACGTCCGCGAGTGTGGGCCCTCCCCCCTGCATCACACAGCGCCCCCCGAGGGGGGACCCCATCACCAGTTACCACTTTGAGCCCTTACTCCCTTGCTTGGACGAATGGCACTGCATTTGAACACAGTGAATACAACCCGTTAGGCTTTGATGCCAGGGTAGGGGATAAGGTGGGGAGAGACTACTCCACATCAGAGAGGGCGAGACGCCAAGCGGGGGTGGCAACCATCGCATGCGCCGCACATTGACGGCTGAGCAGGAAGGGGTTGGACGGCATCATACGTATCAAAAATGCCACATGACCGTCGTTCCAGAGCAATTCAGGCTCAAGGGACTGGGCTACAGATCGTGTGCAGATGCTCAATGTGACCGTGGTTCAGCAGCCACCTGTTGAGCGCTCCCAACACAGGTATGGTATGCACACATGCCAAGGCAAGGGGCAGATGGAGGACGTGGCAGCTGCGGGACGTCACATGTGGCTCGCATCTGCCTGGATCACCCACTGTTACCCCCCCCCCCCTTTCCCTTGCTTTGTGCTTCAACCAACACCCCTGCAGCACCTGGCGCCTGGCGCCTGCGGGTGCTGGCCACCCCTCCAGCCGAACCTCCAGCCACACCCCCATCCTGCGGCCCACTAGCCACAAGTCACAACTGACAAGTAAGTGCATGCATATACATCAATGCAATCTTGCCAAAAGCGCAATGTTCGAAATTGCACCAACTCTATTCCCTTCATTCAGATAACGAAACTCACCTGAGGAAAAGAGTCCTGAGCCGCTTCAGCCCCGCCCAGCTGCGGGGCAGTGGGCCAGTGATTGCGTTGCCCACCAGGCTGATAGTTTCCAGCTGGGCCAGGGAGCCCCACTCGGGCGGGAGGGTCCCGATGATCTGGTTGGAGAAGAGGTCGAGCTCCGTCAGCGCTGGCAGGCCCGCGAGAACACTCGCAGACGGCAGCGTGCCACCGAGGTCTCTTTCCGTTAGCTTGATACTGGCTACGCTCTTACGCGTGTCGCATGTGACACCTTTGAAGCTGCAGTACTCTGTGCCGGCGCCCTGGTTGGCCGACCATGAGGCCAGTCTCCCTTTAGGGTCCACGGCCGCCTTAAACCCCAGCAGCGCCTGCAGCTGCGTTGCGCGCGGGTACGTTTGCGATGGCTTCGCCGGCGCAGGCGCGGCCGCGGGGCCTGGGGCGGGTGTTGGAGCAGGGGCAGGGGCCGGGGCGGAGGCGGGGTCGCGGGCCGCGCCCTGCGTCGGCGGCGTCACGCCCTTAGCGCACACCGCCAGCTGCTTCCCGGCCAGGGGCTTGTCGAGGTCCTTGAGGGATTCGAGGTTGTCCAGCAGCAGCTTCTCAAGCGGGACCCCCACCCGGTACGCAACGCCTGAAAGGTAGTCACCGGTGACAGCCTTTTGGGGGCAGTTGTGTGGGGGGCGGGGGGTTGTGTGTGTG